AACTTCCGCCGGCGATTGCGGCTGATTCCGGCGGGGTTGGAGGTCGTGCCGCATGTCGTTGAACTCAGCTCGTCGAGATCTTTCTATTGACACCGGTGGTGTCAAAAATGGAGGTCGGAATCTTAACTTGAGTATTTGGCCATTGATGGTTTGTGTGAGAGAGAACGTGAGAGGAGAGAGAGAATGAGCGAGAATAAGAGAAAGAAAGTGCAAGAACCCTAAAAATTTCACTATATAAAGTATCTGATTAGGCAAGATTACGTGCTTGATCTTATCCTCAATTATTTCCTCTAAACAGATTAAATTTATACTGATTAGAGGTAATTAGTTTAGCTTACGTAAGTTAATCTACTATTTACAGTCCAATATCAATTTCTGAATAATTCAATATTGTTTTATATTCTTACTCGCGTAATATTTCAAACTGTTTCAAGTCTTGAAATTAATTTTAGACTGAACAAATTCTAAATTTTAATTTTCTGTATTCTATCCCGAGAATGACGTTTCTGACAGTGTCAACTCCCGAGCTCATATTGTATCCATCTACTATAGGTATTTATCTTGTGACTTTAACCTAACTGTTTGGCAATTAAGGATTTTTTCTTCTTTTAAAATGTCAGTGCGTTTTTTTTTATATGCCGCTAACATCGTGCTGTGCTTAGAGATTCTTGAAATTAAGATTCTCAAATTATACTTGTACTGAAAATTATTCCGCCTTAAAATACGGCGAGAATTTATCGATCGAATTTACTTGATCGAAACATGAACTTAACATGAAATTTGCTATAGAATTTAGGAATACATATATTAATTCCATAAATCCTCCATTCACAATATAACATAATATTTTCTAAGAAAATCCTTGGCTTAAAAATACATGAATTGTATTATTTAAGGTCTGGAATTTTCTCAGTCATTACACTAATCAACACCGACTGGTGGAACAGGACAAGTTTGTAATCAGCCAACTGACTGCCATGTGGCCTCCTCTCCGTAATCCCAATGGGGGCTCCCTCCACTTATCGGGGCGCGATATGTGTCATATGACTGGTATAACTGTACACTTGGGTCACCCCCGGGTTTCGGGTCAGATTCAGACACTACCCGGATATGAAAATATTCTATAAATACTAAGTTCATTAGCTCACAAAGGTACATATATTTTTTCACACCTAACTCTACCCACTCATTTGTTGCTCTCGACTAGAACACTGACTTGAGTGTCGCCGTCGGAGTGCCATTGGCAGACACCACACCGGTGTCCCCTCACTCCAAGGCTATCTCCTCTTTCGTTGCAGGTCATAATAGTGTTAGGGGTCCGTCCCGAACAGTGCTATAACCCGAGCAAAATAGTGCTAGAGATCCCTTCCAAACAATACTATGAATCCGATAAGAAGAAATAAAGAATTGAGTTCGGTTACCGTGTACTTTCACACGCAGTGTTGTGCCGGATTTCGGCATCAACACATACAAAAATAATATATATATATATATATATATATACACACTTATATGTGTGCATATTATATGCTTATGGGTCGCACAGCCACATAATTAACTTGGTAATCAGCTAATTTGACAGGTGAACTTACTCGATTACAATGCCAAATCTACTTTAATTAAGAATAAAACCGTAAATAATGTATACATATCATAATGATCCAATGCCATGTCAAACAGAATAATTCAATTTCAAGTCCATCTTATCCACCTCCAATAAATTAGTCTCATAACTGATTTTTTGGGGTGTCCGCGGCCATACTCAATTATTTCACTTTACAACAAAATGCTCTTTCGGCCAGATCATCCAAGAATAATTCAATGTCCATGTGGGATGAGGTGCTCCGAGAGGATCTATGAAAACAATAGGACCCAAGAATCACTTTCTTGTAATTTGGTCAGATGTGGGGCCACTACATCTGCATTATTAGGATGGGGTCCTATTGGTCTCGTTCATTCAATGAAAATCCAACATATATATATATATATATATGTACGTCATATTCATGTAAGTAGATGTGGAGTTGGAGCTTGGTCTTTGCACGCTACTAATTGTATGTTTTGACACGAAAATTATATAATTAATACGTTGCATGTTCGATGACACAGGGGATGTATTATTAATAAAAGGAGACTCTGGCTAATTTTGAACTAATTTGAAATACTATATATCATGTATATATCAATATATTCCTAGTATATCATAGGCGGTTTTATATCAAAAAAGAGATTAAATAGATTAATAAAAGTACCTCTGATTTGTCGCCTGTCCAAATACATCAAAACATATTGGCGAAAAAATAAACATGACTAAAAAACTTATAAGTATGATCCAAAAGATTAATTTTAAAGAATTGAAAATACTCGGGTCTACCATTATATATTTGAAAAACTGAAAATATATAATATATAAGATTTCTAAAATACGTTATTTTTGAATTAAAAGGCTTCTAGTTATGCAGTTATGCTTACATGTAAGCTTGATCCTAATCATGTAAGCTTAATCCTAATCATGTAAGCTTGATCCTAATCACGTTTCAGCTGCACAGTTAAATAAAGAAGATTCATAACAATAATTTAAAGAAAAACTATCATGACTCATCTCCTTTCTCCTTCTGATTTGACTTGAAAACACAAATGAGCTAAACACATGGCAACCCAACATTTTTCAGTACGATATATTTATCAAAGGCCATTCATTATTCTTATATTTTAGTGTTCGAAAATGAATTAATTTTATATGGCCTAGCATCATCAACCATGTAAAGCCCAGCCTATCTGTGGTCCTCTAGCCACACATTCGTCTTTCTCCCATTGGCTCATAGGATCCACAAAATTGTATATTAAGAGGATCTTTTTAATTACAAAAAAAAAAAAAAAACTACATATATCATCTTTTTAGACCATATATTAAGTGGCCATATGACCCCCCCAAAGTCCTTGGCAAATAAATGACCTTTCTATCCAAAACAAATAAATAACACAAATTGAAAATTAACAAGGCACCATACTAAATACCACAATTAATATTCAGCCAAAAAAAAAAAAAAAACCACAACTAATAAAATATAATTTTATTTGTATGTGTCATATATTATGGTACTCTTTTTATTTTATTTTATTTTAAATGTGTGCTGTGGTATCCTTGGCATTGTTCAAACAAATTATTCTCAAAGCGAAAGTGAAATTGTCCACAATTGCCTATATTTCCTCAGCAATAAAAAAAGGATGCGAGTCTCCGCAACCTTCATTATTTGTATCTCAACCCTATTACAAATACATACAAACCGAATTAACTAAAAAGCTCACGGTCATTCTCTATTATTTCCACACTTCAACCAAAACTGATATGACATGATATCATAATTTAAGTACAACAAATGGACAATCCAACCTCAACCTCCGACGACCCCAAAGCCCCACTTCTCCCGTTAAGCGATCGGAATGACAGCAACGAACGGTCGGACAGCTTCCGATCCTCAGTCAAGACCCTTCTGTTTACGCCCAACAACGTGTTCATCCTCCTCGGACCCTTGTTGTGCACCGTCATATGCCTCTGCGTGAAGCTCGATGGGCCGCCGACCAGCCGGTACATGCTGGGGGTGCTGGTGTGGATATTCGAGTGGTGGATGACGGAGGCGGTGCCGATGCCGGTCACCTCCATGACGCCGTTGTTCCTTTTCCCGCTCCTCGGAATTGCTTCCTCCGACGAGGTGGCTCAATCTTACATGGACGACGTTATTGCTCTTGTTCTCGGCAGTTTTATACTTGCCCTTGCTGTTGAGCATTATAACATCCATAGAAGATTAGCCCTCAACGTGAGTTCTCTCTTTATGATCTTCTATTTTCCTTGCTCTTTATTTTTTATTTTTCAATTTTTTTTTGTTAATCAATCTGTTTCTAATTACGTGCTAAAAGTGCCTAGAACTCTTTTTTTTTTTAACTAACAGCTTTTACTTGTTTTGTCTCCTCTGACACGCGACGTATCTTTACTGTAGCAAATATATACTCATCATTTATCATTTTGGTTTTTTTCCCCTTAAACTTGCTTTTCATTTAGCCTAGAGACCTTTTTTTTTCCCCTCTCAAAAGTGTGTGTGTTTTTTTTAGAGGAAGTCTTGAAATTTTGTTTTTACTGCTCTAATTTTTAATTTTTGATAGAGAATTTATTTATTCCATTATATCATTTTTCACTCCAATATGATTCAACTATACATAATATTATTTCCACTGTAGTTTTCACAGTCAGGACATATTCTCTTTGTCGTTATATTCTGCCGTGGAAAATACACAATATTATTCCTCAGATCACCTCGTTCACTTCGCTGATTCGAGTTTAGAATTCGAGTTGAGATGTGATTTTATATGAGAGTTTTTTACTGTAATAAAAAAGTTAGATGTAATTGTTTGTGAGAATTTTTTACTATAAAAAATTTAAATTCTAAACTCGAATCAGCGAAGTAAATGAGATTATATTACTCAATTTTCTTATGATAGTCACCAGTGCTATTTTTATCGTACCCACAAATTGTGTTTCAATTCTCCAAGTTACGTCTTTACGCGGATTTCCACTAAAAATTCAATAATCATCCTTATCTATTTAGACCACGAGATACACCTGTTTTTCTTTTTTCTTTTTTTAGGAATTATTATTTGTATTTTTTTTCCTAAAGAATTATTACGTTGAACAGATAACTCTATTATTCTGTGGGGACCCAGTGAACCCACCGTTGCTCCTCCTGGGGATATGCGCCACGACGGCCTTCGTCAGCATGTGGATGCACAACGTGGCAGCCGCCATGATCATGATGCCCGTCGCCACCGGCATTCTCCAGCGCTTCCCGGTGGGCCCCGCCCAGTCCGAACCCGTCAAGAAGTTCTGCCGCGCCGTGGTTCTCGGGGTCATATACGCAGCCGCCATCGGAGGGATTAGCACCCTCACCGGGACAGGTGTCAATCTCATATTGGTCGGGATGTGGAAGAGCTATTACCCGGACGCTGACCCCATCACCTTCACCAAATGGTTCCTCTTCGGCTTCCCATTGGCTGTCCTCGTTTTCTTTCCTTTGTGGGCCATACTTTGCCTCTTGTACTGTCCCAGGGGTTCGGGCCAGTATCTCTCTGCTTACTTGGACAAATCCCATTTGAAGAGAGAGCTCCAATTGTTAGGTAAGCCTTATTACAATAAATAATAATTATTTTAAAAACTGCTGCATTTCAATTTTACTTTTATAAACATGTTAATACGTCAAAAAATATAATTGTTATAATACAGTAAAAGTTTTTTCGGACTTTTTCTTAATATGAAAAACTCCTAATTATTAAATACAAATAATCCATTTCAAAGGAAAAAAAAAAAACAAATAATTAACATAAATAGTTTCCTCTTGATATATTAAATAATCATTTAATTTATTAGGCACAGAATTAATTTACCTCAGAGAAAATTAACATATTGTTAACGACACAAGTTTAATGATGTATTTAAATGAAGTTCAGTTCAGAATAAACTTTCATGACAAAGTGATGTTTAGATTACACCTATATTTGATTGGTTTAATATATATATATATATTATTTTTTATGCTTAAGTAATATCAAGTTATCAAGTCAGTAATTGTTCATCATGCTGACAGGTCCGATGTCATTTGCTGAAAAGACGATATTAGCTGTGTTTTCGGTGCGTTGCCTAATTAAGCAAATAACATTTTCTTAATCTTGTCATCTTTTGTCTTGGCTTGGTAATAGTATTGCTATGTAATTGCCTAAAACATAAGAGTTTGAATTTTGCAGACGCTAATAGTTTTATGGATGACAAGAAGCATAACAGACGACGTTCCTGGTTGGGGAGTTCTCTTCAACGGCCGTGCCGGTGATGGCACTGTAAGCGTGAGTACTCACTAAAACCGAAAAACACAAAAAAGTATATGGCCCGTTTGATTCATATATTTGAACATAAAATTTGATTAAAAATTTAAATTTTTATGAGAGAAAATACTGCTTTGAATTGTGATTCACTCTGCGAAGTAAACAGGCCGATAATTTTTGAGTCAAAAATTTGAAGGGCATAATTTTTATGTTAAAAGAGGTCTTCTTTCATATCATAACATGTAGGTAATGATGGCGACCTTGTTATTCATAATCCCAAGCAAGAAGCAAAAGGGAGAGAAATTGATGGACTGGAACAAGTGCAAGAAGCTTCCGTGGAACATAGTATTGCTATTAGGTGCCGGTTTTGCCATCGCTGACGGCGTGAGGACCAGCGGCCTTGCCGACATATTGTCGAAAGCCTTGGATTTCTTGGAGGCAGCACCCTACTTGGCCATAGCCCCGGCTGTGTGCCTCATAAGCAGTATCATCACTGAGTTCACTTCCAACAACGCCACAACCACACTTGTCATTCCACTCCTGATTCAACTAGCAAAAACCATGCACGTTCACCCTCTTATGCTCGTAATTCCTGGCTCCATCGGGGCACAGTTCTCTTACTTACTCCCCACCAGTACGCCTTCGAATGTTGTCGGGTTCGCAACCGGACATATTGAGATCAGAGACATGATCAAGACTGGTGGCCCACTTAAGATTGCTGGGATTGCTGCACTGTCCCTTTTGATGCCTACACTTGGTAAGTATTTAGTTTTCATTGATAAGTTTTTATTTTTTTATTTTTATAAAAACACACAGATGACTTGATGTTTTATGTTTGTATGATGAACAAATTCTGGCTTTTGCAGGAGCTTATGTGTTTGGAACGAATGAACCATTTGTTCAATAAATGGCAAAGTCATGCAGAACAGAGCACCCTGTTTGAAGTCAGCAATAGTCTGCAAGTATTCTAATAGAACGATATTTCATTATCGTTTTGGCACATATGCAAAAGTCAATATTGTGTATAATTCCATGGAACAAGTAATTTGAGAAAAGTGAATGAAAAGCGTATTTTTTTTTTCTTAATGCTGTAAAGGTTTTTTGGACTATAATCATTTACTCTCTGTATCGAATTTAGTGATTATAATAAAAAAAAAAGTTGGTCATCTTCCAATTTTTGTCATGAACAACAAGGAGTTTTTCCAAAAGAAAAAAAATCTATCATGAAGAAAATGAGACAGGAATTAAGCGAACTTAGAAAAGTACATGAGAAAGGATAAGCAAATTGACACTCCAACAATACATTAACACAAATTATAACAGCAATAGCAGTTCATATATCATACACAGATTTCAAAACTATATAATATTAATAACAGAAATTTAGAATCTCGAAATCAGAGTTGATACAAAACGCTTTCAGATTTAAGTACATGGCATTGATTGATTCATTATTCAAATTGACCAGAAGCCAGGTCTGTCAAGGGGGAAAGGGAAGTTTCTCAACGTCAGAGCAGAACAATTACTAACCTCCAAGTTTCTCAATGGCATGACACTCTTCAAGTGCTCCCAATCCACTTTCAACATTGGCAGATACTTCAAAGACATACCTCGGATGCTCCAATTCGAACCACTCGAATCTTCTCGAGCTTTCAAGTAGACGATTTTTCCCTCTTCCACACAGAGATACTGTAGTCTACTAAGATTTTTGTGATTAAACCAGATTGGCATGTATTCAAAATTATATTTTCTAAGATACAGCTCCTGCAGGCTTGGAGGGGCGCTTAGGCTCTCCACCATTTTCAAAACACAGTCCTCCTCACGCTCGTCCGCATCAATAATTAGAACCTTAAGTTTTGCGAGCGAAGATAGGATGTTTGATTCATGTGATTCGGAGATTTCGGTTGCATCATCAGTGGTGGTAATAGTGATGTGTAGAACTCTTAGTTGGATTAGGTTCTTGAGCTCACCAAGTCCACAAGTCTTGTTTCTTGCCTGACTGCCTATAACCACTTTGAATCCCTTGAGTTCTTGAAGATTGGAAAGCCTGCCTAAACCTCGAGGGAAATACCGGAGTGGACAACCTACCAAGTCCAAGACAATGAGATTCTTCAAACTAGTGATTGATGAGGGTATTTTCTCCAACTTGGTGCATCCGTTCAGAACTAACAACTGAAGATTCAGGAGCTTACTTATTGTAGACGGCAGTTCTTGCAGATCATCGGCATTACTTACGTTCAAACACGCTAGGCGTCTGAGTGAACAAATCCAATCAAAGAGATCCTTCACGCGTTTCTCGTTGTGAAGACCGGAGAAATCCAACCCTCTGAGGGACAACGGCCTTGAGTTTTTGTCAAAGTCAAGTGAAGAATTGGATGTGCCCAAACGATCAGCTGGAGGGTCAGCTGAGTTAGAGCTATCCGCTGGATGATCGGTTTTAAAGAAATACAATGCCCTCAGCTTTGAGTTGTTCTTGAGTAACTTCTCATCCATTTCTCTTGTGAAGCCTAACCAGTGACAATTTTCTCCTTTCCATGTATGCTTGCCCTTTTCATCAAAGAAGCAAAAGGCCTCTTCTTCTGCAATCGTGATGATCATCTCGCGCACCATGTCATGAATTTTGAAGGAGAAGACTCTTCCATCATAGCGCCGTCGTTCCTTTACATCCACCAGGGATCTACTTATAAGCTGCAAAAGACATTCATAGCCCAAATCTGTCACACTTTCTTGTGATGACCCCTTAGTGCTGAAGTGAACAAGTCCCTCCGCAACCCACCAATGGATTATCTGTTCAGTTCTTATCTCAATATCTTCAGGATAAATGGAGAGACACAATAGGCATTGCTTCAAATGAGCGGGGAGGTCATTATAGCTCAGTCTCAAAGAAGCCATGATATCTTCATTCCCTAATAATGGCGATTTATGAAAACTCTCGAGCACGTCTTCCCACGCAGATAGGTTGTGGACCTTTGAGGACAATAACGATCCCACCACTTTGATTGCCAATGGGAGCCCCCCACATTTCTTCAAAATTTCCTTGCCCACTTTCTCAAAGAGGGCATCCGAGCAAGTCCCTTGGCCAGAACAAAACGCGAACTTCGAGAACAAAGACCAACCTTCAGCGTCACTTAGAGTTTTCGGTTTGTGAACTCGCGACTCCTCCACTCCTATCCGAGCAGGGACATCATTATCTCTGGTGGTGATTATAATGCAACTTCTTACGGTTAAAATGGAGCACAACTGAGTCCACCATTCAACCTGTTTTATTGGCCATACATCATCCATAACAAGAAGACATGTTTTATCTTTAAGCCTTCGCTGAAGTTCCCCCATCAAACTAGAGTACTCAATACTAGATGTGTTCGCCTCTAGCCTTTGCAACATGCACCTTAGAATCGTCTCCGGGCTGAAACTCTGTGAGACAGTGACCCACAATAGCTTGTCAAAGTGATCGAGAACCGCCGAGTCATGAAAGATCTTCTGCGCAATGGTGGTCTTTCCCAAACCCCCCATCCCCACAATTGCGATGCGGCGAAGCTCCTCTTTGGGGTCGAAAATCCACTCCTTTATCATCCTTATGTCGTCTTCGAGTCCAACTATCTCAGGGTCCAAATCCTGCGACATGATTCTCCGACAATGGAATGAATGTTCTTCTTCTGCTTTGTCATGATTATGGTGCATATATGATAAATGCCTGCTCAGAATCTTCTCTTTGGCTTTCATTTTGGAATTGATGTCTTTCAGTTTCTTCCCTGTTTGGTTCAAGAAGAAGAGACCATATTGAAGAAAGCAACCAAAGCAATTAGTTGCGTCCATTTTGTATTGTCTGATTAGGCAATCTGTTAGAATGTTGTCAGCTTCATAAACCACTTCCCTCAGTTGAATCAAGGCTTCCCTGACAGCTATGTCCTTGTTCTCAAGATTTGCTTTGTCGAGAAGGAATCTTCTGCTGATTTCTAAGCATTTTGTCAGCTCCTCCAATTGACTGCTAAAGCCAATTACATGTTTTGCTTCCCTTTCTATGAGTTTTTTGAGTTCCTGTGCTACGATCCCAAACGAAGCAGTTGCTAACTCCATACTCCTTTGTGTTTTGCCCCTAAAAAATTTCCACTACTTTCATTTCTTTTCAACTCCAAGGACATCTCTGATAAGGATCTAATACTGTAACATAAGTGCCAATTAATTTTCTTTTGCTAGAAAAGAAATAATTGGTAAGTGCTATTGTAATTAAAATGTTACAACAACTAGACGTCATGTGCTCGTCTGTGGCCCGTATGTGATTAAAATGTTACAAAATGTTCTTTTTCCCGTGTCTCATTAATGATTAAAACTTTTAAATTTGGTGTTCCAATAACGAAAGTACTAAAGTTGTGTTGGGTAAGTGACTCAAATTAGTTTTGAGAAAGTAACAATTTTGTGTTTTTGAGTATGTTACTGTTTTCAGTTTTTTAGCAAGAGTTATTATGGTTTATTAAGAGTCTATAAATAAGTGTTTTGTTTAAGGCTTTATGTATGCTCAGAATAAAGTATAGAGAAAGAGTGTCTCCTTTTTGAGAGAGAGAGAAAAGTGAGGAGAGAGATATGTAAGGGTGTAAGGAGTTTTGGGTAGAGAGAGAGAGTGAGAAAGTTGTATGAATGTGTAATTATGAAATTGTTAGTGAATTTTTCTCATTTTTCTGTGGACGTATGAAATTTTTTCAAACCGCTTAAATATTTGGATTCTCTATTTTTTTTTGTTATTTTATTTTAGTTTATTTTTCTATTGCGTGGGTGTAGGGGTGTGTTTTCCGAACAACTTGTTGGGGAGACACCGCATGCGAAACTGACTCAACACACTTCAAAAGCCTAACTTGACCTAAAAAGTTAACCTATTAGGTCTTGGGTTCTTCCATGTATATAAACCACTACACATTTTTATCCACTTTCCATGTGTGACAACACACACATACACTTTTCTCAACAATCTCCCCTTCATGTGTGTGTGTTCACCGAGCTCCCTCTCGAATCAAAGTTTCTAGTATGAGTATACTATCCTTACTTGACATGTTATTTTACCTAACTCAAATCACAACTCAAATTTTTTACTACAATATTTTCTTTCACAAAAATATAAATTTAATTTTTTTATTTTAGTGTTTTCTCTCGCACACTAAACTCAAATTCATAATCAAGTTTGAGAAAAGAACATACCCTTAGCTTTGTATATAAACAGTGTATAGACTCAAATCTAGCTTAATGAGAGAGCATATTTTTCTGCAGAAAATTCTTTTAGTTCTTTTGTTATTTCCTTAATAACATTACACTCTGATATTCTTCTTTTTGTTTTAATTCTTCTTCCTTAGTGTAATAGGAAAAAGCTTAAAATATTATATAATCTATTAAGGATGCTATAATACACCAGCTGTATATGTACAATGTCGATCAGTAGCCAAGTTTTCTTTACAAATATTTCCGGTTCTTCTGTAATTATTTCGGACTAAAATTAATGAAAACTAAAAATATTGAGTACGTTTAGAACTCATTTTAAAATAATTTTATTTTTATATAAAAATAAAAATAAAAACGTTTTCAATCTCAAATATAAATTATTTTTAAAAATGCGTTTGGTAATTTTATTAAAAGATTATTTTTAATATAAAAAATTTATTAATGTCTCTCTCTACTCAAGAGAAGAGAAGAGAAAATAAAAATAAAATAAAATTATTTTTCATTTTTCTCTCATTTTATATTAAACTAAAAAATTATTTTTATTTTTATTTTATTTTTAATTATATCAAACATCATTTATCTCCTATTTTAATTTTTTCTTTCTAAAAAATGTAAAAAATGAAAACAAAAACAGCCCAAAACACAGCCACCATTGCTTATAATGTGCTGGTCATCATTGCCAGATTCCTTTTGCATTTGCTTTTTGTGGGGGTACTTGAGAAGATAAACCACGTGGACAGAGAAAAGTTGTAGTTGATTTTCCTCTTTTTTCTTTTGTTTTGTTCTATTTGGAAGGATTTCCCTCCCTCTTCTTAAGTTGAAATATTCTTGAATTTAAATTCTAATAAGGATAACTTAGTTGTGTTTGGTTGTCGTATTCGTATCATGATTTAAATTATAATTTATAATTCGTTATAATATATTTTTATATAAAAAATATACGTAAATTAAAAATAATTTTAAATCATGATTTTAAATTTATGAACAAAACGTCCTCTTATTCACACATTATTTTTTTTATCGTTTACACTATTTTTAAGCATACACACCACTTAATCTTCAAAGATTACAAACCACTAAATTTTTTAAAGTATTAAATTTACTCACTATACATTTTTATTAATTCCAAAATCACCTTAAATACTACTTCAATGTCTTTTTCACCCGCTATTGCATTTTTGTTTGCACACCCGCCCCCTGCAAATACTGAGGATTTGCTGGCAACCCGAGGGGAAAATTCAATATTTAGTAGGTTTTGCACTGAAAAAGAGAGCTTCAAGTTTTATTTGTCAAATTTAGAGATAAGTTTTTGGGGTTCAAAATAGCAAGAGTTCTAGAATTGCCGTATGTAGACTGATTATTTTAAGTTGCTGAGTGTATGGATTGGCGCAAATGAAAAAAAGAAAAAAAATCTTCAGCTTTATATGTTTTTCCTCTTTTTTAAATATATGCAAAGTCTACAGTTTACAGGTCTTAAAATAGACACTTGTACATTTTTTTTTACGGATTTGTAATATGATAATATTGAAGCTTAATTTAGCACAAAAGTAAAACATATTTTATCGAGTGTAACACTTGAACAAAATAAATGTTATATAAATGTACAAACAGTTCTAAAATAATCTGTCGAACGGGATTGACCACCGAATTGGAGACAGTAATTCCAATAAATATAATGCTATCATTTAAGTCTTTTGTTGCTTTTTTCTTTTGTCTTTTATTGCTATATCATGATATATATATATATATATATATAATAGTAAATTTTTAAATGAGAGGTGTTTCAAAAGTAATCAAAACTACCCTAATCTTAATTAAAAATTAGAATTAAAGTAAAAGAAATGAAAAATCTACATACATATTCCTTTGCCATAGGGACGTAAAAACTTATGTATTTTTTTTTTCTTAAACTAATTTCTCCCATAATTTCAAGTATTTAAGAGGTAAAAAAAAATTCTAAAAGATGACTCAAAACTAAAGAAGTGAGTCAGAGGGAAATTTTCCTAATTTGCTTTGGAAACTTTAAACATAAAATTATAGCTAATTAGGACAAACGTACGACACATTGGAAGATGAAGGATAAACTTTCAATTACATAATGTGAAATTTTCATGAGTAGAAACATTAATATTTTTAAAACGCAGAGGAACAAGAAACAACTAGAAAGAGATTAATTAGATAATTTTAAACTACTCTTCTGAAGTGTGTATATATATATATATTATAGAAAGATATCGCAGTAGATTATTCCAGCACTTGGCTTTAGAGGAGGAAATTAAATGGGTTCTCTTCTGCGTTTTACTGAGTGTATTATCCATTTGAATATCTTTCTCATTTGGCTTTCAACTTGGCTTTAGAGGAGGAAATTAAATGGGTTCTCTTCTGCTTTTTACTGAGTGTATTATCCATTTGAATATCTTTCTCATTTGGCTTTCAAGTTCTGGCGTCAAATTTCAGAGCGCAGCTATAGAATATTTGCCTGCTGGTGAAAGTATATATCCTTCGTTAGCTTCTTTTGTTTATTTATTTTGTTTTTCAGTAATCTTCATCACCTTCTTATACAATTGATTTTCTAGGCTTTGGATATTAATATGTATGTAGAATTTAAGTTGTTTGATAAATGGGTTCTTGAGAGTTAGTACCAGCATGAATCAAGTTTACTTTAGAATATAAACAAAATGCACACACACACACACACACACACACATATATATACAGATCCTGTTTGACATCCTGTTTTACCGTATTTGGACAATAAAATCCCCGCATGATAGGTAAGAAAATCATGTAAACGTACTTGGAGTAGCTGTGTGTGAAATGTTTAAAACATTAGCAGTTTCTTGTTTTCTCCGACATCCCAGATAAAGCTGTTTGTGAAATGTTTTAAAACATTACTGTGTTCTCTCTCTCTGTTTTTTTTTGTTTTTTTTTTGTTTTTTTCCAGTCCAAAACTCTCTTCTGAGATGTTTAGGTGTTCTTTGGGGCGTCCCTTGCGTTGTCGTGGAGTAATTAGCAGAGAGATTTGCGGTTTTGTTGATCCATATATCTGTACTATATTTACCTAATATGCAGATTTTCTTATGTTTCTGGTTAGTTCTACTGGCCGGATATATATGTATGTATATAGTTTCTAGTCACCATTATTCCTAGCTTAATGTCATCAGAATATTGTACAAGCTTGCAAAGTCGTAGGCAAACAATTACTGACTTACTAGAAGCTTCATTACGGTAGCAATTCAGCGATCATGGGGTCTATACGAAGAGCGAGATCCAATTGTGTTGCTGAAGTATAAGTCTCCTAATGGGTTACTAATAATATGTTACCCCTTGGTAGTGTGCTAAGTGTAAGGGAGCTAGGTATGTGCCGTAGTCTGTCTTCGTTCTTGTCTCTGTCTTGAAAATTAATTTTGAGTGATACACTTGGTGTTTGTGTATGTGGCATATGATTGCTTTGGTGTATGAGAAAATTTTGTGTATTTGTTAAAATACCGTATAATTATATTACCATTAAGGTGATAACGAGTTATTAGTACATTTTAACGTTTTTTTTTTAATTAATCAGAAAACAATACTAAAAGGAGTCGGATAACTCCCTTAATTAACTTTTTTTTTTATATTTAATTTATATGTTCTTTAGTATGTAATTAGTGTTACGAATACGTACAAGAAAGCTATTGCTCTATTTCTATTTTTATTTCATTTATGCGAATTAACCGTGCTCTTTAATTAATTGATAGTTCTATATATATTTTGCTACTATTTTCCTTCTGATCGATGCAGTTTGGTTGGCTTTTTTTTTTTTTATTCTTTTATTACTTGAAAACAAAAGGCTGCCAACACATTACATTTGTTTTCATAGAAGTTTAATTACTGGAAAATAACTAGTGTACTGAAATTATTGGCAGCTATTGCTCTGGAAACCATTCGAGAGGCGTTCGATTCGAGCACAGAATTAGACGTTGAAATTTCTCGCTCGCCTTGCAAAAATCATATTTCCACTGCATATCTTATTTGCGAAAATTGTACCTACAAGGAGGACAATGAAAAAACTTGCCACATCACCAAATTGTAAGTGTAAAAAAGGATTGGTCAATGGATCTTGAAGGGCCTGGATTTTGAAAAAGATTTGATTTCGTCTTATAAATTTGAAATTGACAATATTGTAAATAACTAATTTATGTTTTTGTACTGGCAGGAGATTAGGTAACTTGGGACTGGGTGGAATTATACATGATGCAGTTGGTGATCTTCAATATCTAACCGAAATGTAAATTTCTTTTTTTTTTTAATCTAAGTCTCTCTTTCTCTTACTGCTCATGGCTTGTTTATGCGGCAATATAACGGTTTAATTTCAATTTATTTCCTTTCGTTTATTTAATAGATCGTCCATAAGACCAAAACCAAAAATTTAGCCGCACTTTTCCTCGATATATCTAGGAAGGAAAAAATTGGTGAATATATTCAAGAAAAATTCTCCGGTGGGGATGAGCGGTGAACCTACACGTCGAGAAGAGAGAGAGATATATAAAAAACAAAGAGAGGGTAGCATTTTGGCCGGAGCTCGTTTTTGGCTTTATATATATATATATATATATATATATTTTCACGAGCTCAGTGATGAGGCTAAGATGGTGGCAAGGACGGTGATGGCTGTTGTGAGGCATAGGAGTTGAATTCTGAGATGAAATATGGAAGGATTGTTAGTTGTTTTGGAGTGGCTTTCCAAGCGCGTCGTTTTTCATGCATCTTTGCTCTTTTGAGGTCTCATCCTTTGTGGTGCGAGCATTTGGAGGTGTCAGAAGTGTCATATTGGGCGGCTTGTGTGGTGCACATGCATTAGTTCAAAGGCTTATTGACGGTGCTTCTCTCCTCATTCATTGCACGGTCTTTTTCTGTTTTGGGCATTGATAGTCGACTCTCAGTTGAAAACTTTGGCCTCATTTGTTTTACCGATTTGAGTTTTCAATTCTAATTTTATTATAGTTACAAACTCTTATAAAATGTCACATACAGTTAAAAGCTCTTACATAAAGTCACATCTTAACTTGAATTGTTGTTGTCTTTTTTTTTTGTGGTTGTTTTTTCTTTTCTCAATTTTATTTGTATTGAATGTGTAAGAATGGTGGAATTTTTTTTTTTTTTTTTTTTTTTTCCCGTTTGTTGGATTTGTTTCTAGCCATGTGTGCGCTTGATATTTGGTGTACACTTCGATTGTACACAACTTTCCCTTAAGAATTTCAAATTTGAGTTCACTGGTAGAACCAGCTATTTGCCAGTACGTGTTTCTTGTAGTAGGAGACTATGTATTGGTGTTTTTATTGTCTTTTATGTCATCAAATATATTTTCGATTTCAAAAAGAAAAAAAAAATCTATGGTAGGGTCCATTGTTTTACCCTAATAGTATAGCGTTTAAGAGTTTAATTTAATAGCGTTCAAGAGTTTAATTTATGAGTGTGCATGTTAAATATATTTATGAGCAACAATTAAACATGATAAATAATATTCTCAATCATTAATTTTTTTTATCAATCTATGTTATATATGAATAATACTAACATTCATCTTGACAACCACAGGGATCTATCCAATAATATGCTTCAAGGAAGCATACCAAATACCTTGGGGAATTTGAAAAATCTTGAAACCCTGTAAGTCTGTGCTCTATTGCAAGTATAAGTCATTTTTCTTGTAATACAGTACACATATTACATATAATAAATAGGGTCTGTATATATATGTTCAGGGATCTTTCGCACAATCAACTAACAGGACAAATACCAGGGGAGTTAGAGAACTTGAAGTTGCTTGCATATCTGTAAGTCTTAGTTATGATCAAATTATACATATTTTCTGAATCAAGAAATCTATTATAATTAATTAGCATGGCTCAAGTCTGATTTTTGTCTAGCAGTATTGATCAATTAATTTTGATCATATATGATATATGTGCTATGAAAGCGGGTCTTGGCACCGTGGTGGGAGCGCTTGCGTTTGCACCCGGGGTCTAAGGTTCGAATCCCGGAAATGACCTATTCTTTGGGGGATAAGACTGCTTACATATGAGATTGAGCTTTCTCCCGAGCCTGTCATAGTACGGGAGCCTCTTGGCACCGGGGTCCGCCTTTTTTTTATGATATATGTGCTATATATTTTTTGTTAGTTGAGAGATCAAATTGTCAGTATCGTACTGACTAGTGTTACGGTAAATAATATTTATTAAAGAAATTATAATATAAATATGATATATTCTAATTCCAATCATGCAATTAAGTCCAAAAATTAATTACTTTTAACTACATGATTTATATGCCACAGCGATCTGAGTTACAACTTCCTCGACGGACGTATACCATCATCACTGGGTCGACTGGATTTTCTGGAAAGATTGTAAATTCACATATTTTCTTCAACTTAATTTGCAAGACGAGATTCTGTCTGTACGTGTATATAATTATGTATCTCTAATGGGGTTTGGCTTGCAGGGCTCTGGACTTCAATATGTTATCAGGCTCAATTCCCGATGAGCTGGGATCTCTCAGTAATCTTGCTCGTTTGTACGTCAATTATTGTCCCTATAACTTTTTTTTTTTTTTTTGGTGGGTTTCGAGTTTTGACTGATTTTGAATAGAATTTCCTTTCTTTTTCTCCTGCTATTCTTTTTTTTTTCTTTTTTTTATACGTCCATCCTAATTTCCTCTCTTTTTCTCCTGCTAGTTTGAGTATACTATCCTTCTGTTAGGTTGGCGATCTCTGGCTCCTTTATGCTAATATATAGACCACAGATTATTTGACTATATACCATTTTTAAGAGGTGGTTGTTGGTTTTTACCATTTTAATTCATTTCTTTTGATTTGTATAACTTTCATGTAGTATAAAGTTTATATTACCCTTCATTAATTTATATCTAAATTCCCACCTTCAGTTAATCACCGATTAACTCCTGTTAAGTAGTGATTAACTGATTAGCTCTAGAATCTTAGATAATCTGTGATAAACTATGTCTGGTATCCTCAAGTTAATTACCGATTAACTCAAATTAATCAGTGATTTACCGATTAATTAGAAGTTAATCAATTATTAACTAGTTATCTAAGGGGTAAAATTGTCTTTCTATTTATTTAAAGTAATATCTTTTGAACTTTAATTGACCACTCTCTTTTATTTATTTATTTATTAAAGTAAAGTTCTAAAGAGCCGGACAGAGTTTGGTCGCCTCACATGCGGTAGGCTCCACTGACCCGACAAAAGGTGGCAGGGCCGAGCCCGGCCGCTGCAGCCTTGCTCTTCAGTGCATAATCAATCATATCGCACACTTTTTAATTAACTCTCCTGAATTACCCTTGACCTGACATTAATTAACCTTAATTTCCATGATCTTCAATACACAACTGTTCAAGGCAATTAGCTGAAAACCAACTTTCCGGTAGTCTTCCTTCCACACTTGGAAATCTGAGTTCTCTCATAGAGCTGTAAGTTATGTACACAACAGATTCTAGAACTTATACCAGTGAAGAAAAAAGAGAAAAATATTAATGAAAATTTGGAAATTATACTTTTCTTTATTAATACTGTTGCAGTTGTCTTTCATCCAATTATTTAACCGGGAAATTGCCAGAGAGTTATGGCCAACTTCGCAAACTGCAGCAGTTGTAAGTGTTCTCTCCATTCTCATAATAATGTCATTCTACGTGCAATAAGTTGTTATAATTCATACGATATCGTCTAATGTTTACTATAATGATCATTTCAAAACGACCTAATTTGGCGATGCAGTAAAGCATCTGGGAATAGTTTATCTGGTCAGTTTCCTCATTTCGTAAAAAACTGGCCCGAAATCCGGAGTCTGTAAGTTATCATTTCTTAAGTATTTACGGTTGTTTCTATAGCAATTTATTTGTATGAGCTCAAATATCTAGTTACGGCGTTTTAATATTTCAGTTACGTTTGGTATAAAGGTTCAAATCAAAATAATTTTAGTTTTAGAACTAGAATCATGATTTATGGTTTAAATTTAAAGTCCAAACCATAGTTCTAGAACCAGAATCAGAATCAGAGGTTTGAACCATCCAAAATCAAAGAGGCGGTGATTTTATTTTTTGAGATAGTTCTAGTTTAAAACATCACATCAGAATTCAAACTTTGAAAGAACTATTCAAATCAAACACTGATTTTTAAAAATTATTTTTTACTTTTTGTAAATAAACAAAAGTTTAAACCAAAATCATAATTCCTGGCTCTGAAAATCTCATACCAAACGCAACCTTCTTGTTCTTAATTACTAAAAACGACACGAAGCTGGGTGCATCTGTATGATGTAACGACTCCAGTACTTTTGTTTCAACTAATAAAACCACTCGGTTTATGTATATGTCACATATTTAACAAATATAATCGAAGTAATTATAAATCTCCAGCATTTACTTGCCTTAGATTCTGAATTGAACTGCTTTTTTAGAAAAAGCTTGCGTTGCTCTTCCAGGAAATTATTGGGAAATAATTTTGAAGGACCGATACCAACAGAGGTTTTTAATCTGTCAATGCTTGAGTCTCTGTAAGTGTAGTACCGCCCATCTTATATCACTTGATTTACGAGTTTTCTGCATACACTATGAGTATGTTTTTTTTTTTTTTTCATAGGTTTTAATAAAAAAATTGAGCTGAATTTTAAATTTTTGTGAGGAAAAAACTGTAGCAAAAAGATTGATCAATAGTTATCTGAATTGCGAAAAAAACATGATCTATATTTTTGTTAATAATGATTGTACATACAATTTGCTTTTTGTTTTTTATGGGGAAAAATTGAATTTTATTTTTTTGGTTCTTAATTCCCACAGGACCATAAGTGATGTCGGAACATCCTCGTTCCAGTTGCCATCGTCCCCACACATTCCCCAAATTAAAACGCTGTACTTTTTTTTAAAATTTTTTTTTCAGGTTTTCCCATGAATGAGTGATTTTAATCCTAATAGAACTGGAATCAAATATTGTCTGTTGAATGATCTTTTCCTTTCCTCTCTCCTTTTGCAGGATACTGAGAAACTGTTCAATCAATGGTTCAATCCCCATGTTCATTAGTGAGTCTTCATCACTCAAATTCCTGTAAGTTCTTATAAAATTCTCAAATTAAGAGCATCTCTAATCTTGCTAGCTATTTCATGTCTTTAGTCAAAATAACTAATGAAATTTTTTTTTTACTCCAACCATTAGCCAAATGGCTTTACTATTTTAGAAAATAAATTCCACACTAGCCAAATCTATCTAGTGAGAAGGGGCTACGCATTTTATTTTTTTATTATTTTATTCTTTGAGACAATTACTTTTTGAATTAGTAAGTTAATTCTTTCAAACCGTAATAAATGCAAACGGTTCAATAAATATTAAAGTAATCTATATATGTTTACTTAAAATAAAGAGTGTAGTTAGAGTGCCTCACGAGCTACATTAGCTAAAATTTAGAAAAAGTTTGCCAAATTACAAGAGCGCTGTATATGTATGTATGTATAGTTCAAGTCAATTAGCACTATGTTTTATTGAACAAAGCATAATAAATTGAAAGAATTGGTCAGCGAAACTGCGTTCCTAAAGTCCTTACCCACCACCCCCACACCACCCAAAAAAAAAAAAAAGTTCTTAGCTAGGATGTGTTTGTGCGGTTTTCCAAACAACTTTCGGGAGTTGCTCAGACAAATATTCAAGGAGAATATCCAAAGGAATTAAAATGACAGAAGAGGACAGAAAGCTTTTGGCCTAGAGATGGAATTCAAGTCCTCTCAACAATCTTCATCGCTTTCTAATTATACGATAACTGTCATGACCAAATGAATATTCTTGATCCATCTTGATCATAACACGTCATCATTTGTTTCCTATTAGGGTTTCTCCTAGGACATTCCGCTTTTGGAAGGCCTCATGAAGCCCTCCTAATCCAAGAAAAGTCTCTTTCGATTATGTTATTCACTTTACACGCGTCTCATTTGGGTTGATCACATTAATTAGAGGAAGATGAGACATGTGTCATTGCATCAGGATCCTTTCTCCCTGACATGAGTCGTTCCCGCCTTCCTCTCGACCTTAGTCTATTTTGGTCTCGAGGCGGCAGAATTCCCTATCAACCTCAGTCTCATTCCTTGATCGAGATCTATGCATTCCCTCAATCGAGGTGGGAATCAATATCCTTCCATATCTCGGTTCCTATTTTGTTTCCGGCCACAGTCTGTGACACGTGGCATGATCCTAGACCGTCTCAAAAAAATCCTCCAACAAGATGCATAATTTTTGACACATTGGTAATTCAGAAAGATGTTCTAGTATTGTAGAGATATTAGTACTGTCCGTTTTAAGTTTAAATTTAAAAGTAATAAAAACGCCAAGTAATATCCTATGAATTTCAATTTTGCAGAGATTTGAGCTTCAACAACCTAACAGGTGGAATTCCAGAGACATGGAAACCGTTTTTAATTCATATGTAAGAGAAAATATGATATTACTTGTTCTTCTTAATTGGTTGATAAAGAAAATCAAAACCGCAGCCTAGCTAATATATGATGTATATGTTTTTCCTTATATAGGTCTTTTGCAAGAAATAACCTTACCGGAACCATTCCTGCGTGGATTTTTCATTCAACAAGAACTAGGATGTATGATTCCACACCTGAAGTCATGTCCTTAACTTTTACATTCAGCTTTCTTATTTTTTTTGGCTGAATATTTTACATTCTGATTTTTTGTTTGGCATGAATATTAATTTTACGCTCCTTGTGATAAAAAAAAAAAAATCGCTCTTATTTTGGTTAGAACATAGAACGGACTAATTTCTTATAATTAATTTTGCGTGTGAAACATCAGTACTATCGGTACATATGTACTTTTCATGTTGTATACTTTATGTTTTCAAATGCTGTAGGGATTTGTCATACAATAACTTCTCAGAAATAAACGTCCCAGTTCCAGCCAAATTAAATCTGTGAGAACCAAATCTTGACTTTTTTTTTTCAATTGTTGGTGTAAATATTTTGTTAGATATTTATCTACCTATCTATCTAGATATAAATGTATATTTTTTTATTTGGCTCAGGAACTTGTTTGCCTGCTGCTGCTGTCAGAGCTCCTCGACAACTCTCCCATACATGTGTGGTGATATTTTCTCTACTCAGCCGTTTATAAAACAAGTTTAGATCTACCGTGTCTTCATTTTCTTATCTCGTTGGCTGTCTCTCTACTATTTATTTACCACGCCATTTAAATTTAATAATCTGACCACATAAATATAAACTAAATGTTAAAACTACTCGAACAATTTAGCACGTGTCAAAATTAAATCGGAGAGACAGCTAACGAAACAAGAAAATTGGACAACAGATCTTTGATTCTTAAAAAACTCAAAAGTACCATTAATTTCTCATAAACTAATTTTAGCTACTTTTAGGCTTAATCCCTCGCAGATGGCGGAAGCATATTTCCCCAAAAAACGCAAATGTGAGTTTATTCTTCAAAATTATCATTTTCTTTTTCTCCAATAGAATCCATATTTTACTTATTTCTCATAACTAATTTGATAATTACTTACAAATAAATATCATGATATTTCTGTCATAATACTCGGGATCTCAAGTTTTTAATACCAACCAGTCATTCAATAACTCATATAAAATTTGATTCAATTTTGAAAATAGCTATATATAACATATGTCTTTCTTCTCTTGCAGTCTTCTCCTTGTGCATAAACTGTGGTGGAGATCAAATAACCATCAATGAGGATATTTACGAGGCAGATAATAAAACGGACTATTTCTGTGAAGATTCAAACCGGAACTGGGCTTATAGCTGTTCAGGAGACTTCTTCGTAGAAACTTTCAATTCAAGTGATTTTATTCAAAAAGAGCCCTACAAAGTATTCAATCCTGAGGCATCCTTATACGAAAACTCTCGGCTCTCGCCGGTTTCTTTGAACTACTACGGCCTAAGTCTGTATGAGGGGACTTATAACGTCACACTTCACTTCGCTGAAATTGTCTACAAAGGTCTTCACGTCTCAGAAGTCGCAAACTATAACAAGCTAAGCAAACGTTTATTTGACGTCTATATTCAGGTCCCTATACAAATATAAACATTACCATACATACATACATACATACATACATACATGCATGCATACATAAATGCATCTAGAAGAACATCCAAATACCTAATACTAAGAGAGCGAGGGGTAGACTAAGAATTACTTAGGCTGACATAGTTAGGCACGACTTTCAAGATCTAAGATTTCATGAGGGTCTTGTGTTTAATAGAGCATACTGAAAACGAGAAATTCATATAGCCGACCTCAATTAATTTGAAATTAAAGCTCGTATTTGTTGTTGTTGTTTTTTGTTTTTTTTTTTGCCTTAAAATCAGAAACCATTATCATTAATATAATCAAGTATAATAACAGTTTCTATAGTTTATCTTTGTTGATTCAATAAACTAATATAATTTTTCGGTACCAATTAGTTTTTCAATACTATTAATGAAGGGTGAGAGGGTACTGAGTGATTTCAACATAAGAGACGAGGCAGGTGATTATTACAGAGCAATCAATAAAACGTTCAGCACTCAAGTAAAGGGTGACGGTTTATTGGATATTCACTTGTATTGGGCCGGAAAAGGGTCTCAGATCAAGAAACCTTCTTACAATGGTCCGCTTATTTCAGCCATTTCCGTCAATCCTGGTAAATGTTGTTTGCTTTATTTCCTTACCTTTTTTTATTTTTATTTTTTATTATTGCAATAAGGTCACAACCGGTAGTACAAGCTGAGATTTTCTAGCCTTTTCCATTGCCAGTCGCTCATTTTCGTCTACTAAAAAGAAAGAAAAAACAAGCCAAGAAATCTTAACATTACTGACAGTACTTTCAATTATTACTGTTTTTTAACCAATTAAAAATTATAGCGTAAAATTGTTGTATTGTTGCAGTAGAATAAATTTTCGGCCCCGTTTGCCTCATTGATTCAAATCAAAACTTAAGTTTTTACTCTTGTATTTTCTCTCACAAAAATTAAATTTTAACTTTTTGTGCTATATATATATATATATATATTTTTTTTTTTTACATAAATTCACTTTTTAACTTGAGTTGAAAACTCAAACCAACGAAATGAATGAACGATGTTTTTTTTCTCTCCAAGTTTGTGGTGTTTTGTTATCTAGTTTCAAAAACCTAGTGGTACGGTTTTGTTCAAAGTAGAAAAGGATGGATGTACTTTTTTCCCCTCCTGATTCTTATAGAGAGGGTTTAAGTCGGGTTCTCCAAGAAAAAAGTCTTGATCGGCTTCTCATGTGGGGCAATTATCAGTCAAGAATTCTGAATAGTTCTTTGTTTAGGCCGCTCTTCTATTTTTGCTGTCTTGAGCCTTTTTGGCTTGTTTCTGTAATTTCCCTTCCATGACCTTTTTTCTTTCTCTCTTTTTATTTTTAGTTATAATATTTTGAGTGGGAGCTTAGTGTGGCAAGAGTGGCTAGAGGGTGCCAACCTAGTTAGATACATTTACCCTCTTTCTTAATTTATATATGTGTATATATGTGTATATATATATATATATATATGTAAATTACTTGATTAATATCAAATTAGCCATTTTCATAATTTTATACGTTAATTACAATTGTTGGCTAATAATAGCTTCCATCACACAGATTTCAAAGTAGGAGGTGGTGGACTATCTCCCTTGCATATATCATTGCTTTCTGTAGCTTCAGTCATAATTTCTCTGCTGCTGATGTTACTTTTAGCCTGGGCAATGGGATTTCTGGAATCCAAAGAATTACAAGGTAAGAGTAGTAGACAAGACACGTACATACTTAAGCTAGCCCAGCTCCAAATATGAAATTTTTGAGGCCTCGTTCATTTTATCGATTTGAATTTTTAATTTTTAATTTTTATAGTTAAAAACTCTCAGAAAATATTACATCTAATTTTTTCTGCTGCAGTTAAAAACTCTTAGAAAATTTCACATCTCAGTTCGAATTGAAAACTCAAATCCACAAAGTGAATAAGGCCTGAATGTTGTAAATTATCGCTTATCTAACATATATAGAGTTTTGATAAATGACCTTTATTTTGTACAGCAAAAATAAAAGTAGGTGATGGAAAAAATGTCACCCTCAAAGAATTAATAAGAGCTACCGGAAACTTTAGCCTCAAAAAGAAGATCGGAACCGGGAGTTTAGGGACAGTTTATGAGGTAATTATAATTAATTTTATTTATTTCTCTACTCCGTGGTATTTCCTTAATTTAGAAGGAGAATTTCCACGATAGGGTATAAAAAATACTCCACAAGTATGGCTCTATTTTAAATTGTTAGAAATATTATTTAGTTTTGATTTTTTTTTTTTTCATTTTGATGTGATTTTAAAAGATCTAACAATTAAAGACATGCAATTATGTATTACCGATCAGTATGAGTTACGAAACGACCGAAAGAAAATATGAGAGGTCTTTGATTACTTTTTAATTATTTCTGATCAAGCAGGCCGAAGTACTGGAAGATCAAAAAGTGGCTGTCAAGAAGCTTTCCTCCCGTTATAAGAAAAGAATCCATAAACTAAAGCTCGAAGTTTTTAACATGAAATCATTGGCACATGAGAACCTCCTTAAATTGTGGGATGTTCATATTGGAAAAGGCTATCAGTTGCTCGTTTATGAATATATGGAATACAAATCCCTAGAGAACGCCTTATTTGGTAAATCTTCTACCACTGTTATTTGTTTTTGTTGAATCTAGGGCCCTTCTGACAAATGTATTTAAATTTTATGATTTTTATTCTATTACAGTATTTTTCTCTCATACAAAAAATTTGAATTCAAAAACTTTCCACTAATAGTTTTCTTGCAAAGTTCTCGTCAACAAATCAAAATTACTACTTGAATGTGCGAACCAAACGGGCCCATGCTAGTGATTAATAATAGGGAGAAAGAGAGAAATATGCCAAGATTTGAGATGAATTAAAATTAATAGGCCAATAGTTTACATAAGTTAATAAATAGGCCAAATTACTGTTTTCGTCCATAACTTGTCTGGTTATGAACCATAACTTGATAAGTTATTATTCATAATTGTCCATAACTTGTCTAGTTATGAACCATAACTTGATAAGTTTGTTCATAACTTATCTGATTATGAATTATAACTTGACAAGTTATGGCATATTAATTTTTATAACTAAAAATTGGCCTATATACTTTCTTAAACTTTTTATATTGGCCTATTTTCTACTATTTTCCTTATAATATTAAATTTTGCAGGGTCATGTCATTTACCCAAATCGAAGCTTAATTGGGAAACTAGATTTAGCATTTGCCTTGGAATAGCGAGGGGTTTGGCGTATCTACATGAGCCTCATAGATCGGTCATTCACGGCAACATCAAGACTGCTAATATTCTTCTTGATGATAAGTGTGAGCCCAAGCTTTCAGACTTAAGATTGGCAGGCGTTCATAGTGATAAAGACCAGCTTTTGCTCATCAAAGAAGAAGCACCAAAGTAAGTGACAAATAAGGAATAATTATATCGCGATGTGTATTATTGGTACCTCTGTGTTAAGAGAATACCAAATCGTTAGTGAAAAAATGCATCCGACTACTTTGATGCCATTATAATTGACAATAAAGTTTTTTTTTTTCTTTTGTCTTTCAGATTAAAAATATACTGAGATTTTTTTAATCAAATCATTCTAAAGGAGGAGTGTACATGCCGTTTTTTTGTTTCTTGATTTTTTTTTATCATTTTATTGTATTAAAGAAAGTAATTTTGAGTTTTACTCAAAAAAGGCACGTTTTTTTAAGTACTAAATACCTATTTAATATTTCTGAAATAGTATTAAGGTACCAATCTACTAATTCGATAAAACAATACGATAGAATTATAATTATAATTAGCTAGCTAACTAGCTAGACAAACGTTAATTTAATTCAATTCGGAACTCCCTCTTTTTCTCCCCCTAATTCTTTAAACATGGCTTTGAACTTTCCATGATTCAATTTGATTTTCGAATTTCTTGTTCTGACGACAGAGGAATTAACGCACCAGAATATTTTCAAGGAATTTTATCACCCAAGACTGATGTTTACAGTTTTGGGATGGCCGTCCTGATAATTGTCAGTGGGAGGAAAAGTGAAGTAGACAAATCATGCGGCCAGGGAATGGAGTTTCTTCTGGACACGGTAAGAAACTACGTCTGTGTTTGGTATGAGTATTCATGTCATTGTTCGAATTATTATTATTCGTGGCTCATTACAGTATTTTCTCTCATAAAAAATACACGTAAACCGAGAATAATTCTGAATCTGTGAACCAAACGTCTAATAAATTAACTGATGTTATTCTATGATCTCAATTAGCTATATTTGGAACGCGCCTAGATCATCAGCCGATCCAAGTTAGCAAATTTAATGGTCAAAATTGGAACTTAAGTAATAATTTAAATAATTTTTAGGCTAACTTTTTCTAGTTATAATTTATGAAAAATGAATGAGGACATCATTAGTGCTAAGCACCACTATTAATAAAAGGCGAGTCTCTCTTATAGGCCCTCACTTTCTACTAGTAGTTGTTGCGCAGCATCTCTGGTGCTCTATAGCACTGTTCATTATGAGTTAGGTCACGCATGTTTAAACATATATGTTGTAACGCAGGCGTATGATTTACAAAGTAAAGGAAATAGGCTGATAGAGTTGGTGGACAGAAACTTGTACGATTTGTACGATGCAAAACAAGCGCTCACCCTGTTGAATCTAGCAGTGAAGTGCACCAGTTCGAGCCCGAGTATGAGACCAACGATATCTCAAGTTTTGAGTGTTCTTGACGGTAAGAAAACACTGAGTGATGTTGTTCTGCCTGATCCATCTACCTCAAGTACTACTGTCTATGGAGACATCGATAAAGCGGCCGATTCGTCCAGATCAATCACACAGGTTGTCGATATTGAAGGCCTTAGTTAGTTTGATATCCCCACTTCGATTCGTCATGAAATCAAGGGCAAGAATATCATTGATTCATGAAGCGTTGCACCCCTAATGATCAGGCATACTCTCATTATGTACAGTAGTTTGTGCTTTGGCACTTTTTCCTTTCATGCTTCGTCTTTAGTGAAACAGAATATTGCTAGCTGTTTGTTCTGTGAATGAGGAGTTTCTCCGAAATATTTGTATAATTTTATTTTGTTGTTGTTTATACACTGCAGCCATGTGTCGCTGTTTGATTGGATGAAAGGAAAAGACAGGGTCCCACCTGCTGCAGCACTGACGCAATCATAGCCGTCGATCTTTTTGATCTGACGGTCATGAAAAACATCGTTTTTATTATTTTAATTATCATTATTTTCTGATTATTTTTAAATCGATTTTGTCCCCTTTAACACTATTTTGCACCAATTTTCGGTGCAATTAAAATAAAAATGCTATAAATGATTAGGAAAAAATAAAATTTAACAAAATACTTTAAAATAAAATAAAATAACACCTTACTAAATAAAAAAAATTAAACAAAATAAGATAAAATTAATACAAAACACAACAAAATAAGTTAAAATTTTAAATTAAATAAAAAACTAATTTAAGACACAACAAAAAAACTTAAAAAACTTGAATTTGCAATAAAAAAATAATGTGAATAATTAACATATATATGTGCAACTTTTCAGACCGAACCAAATATAATTGAGTCACCATACTCTAATACGTTTCTTTTATGCTTTTTTTTTCCTTTTGTTCTTTTTTTTTAACAATTTGCATAACCGTAATTTTAAATAAATCATGCGCGTCACTTGGAATCATTATCATTTTTTCCCGATTATTGTTATTATTTATTTTTAAGTGATTTGTAGCCCAAATTTTAGCACCGTTTTGTACAGAATTTTTGATGTCATACAAATGAATCTTAACTTAAAAAACTTGAATTTGCAATAAAAAAATAATAACACACAGATTCATGTGAATAATTAACATATATATGTGCAACTTTTCAGACCGAACCAAATATAATTGAGTCACCATACTCTAATACGTTTCTTTTATGCTTTTTTTTTCCTTTTGTTCTTTTTTTTTAACAATTTGCATAACCGTAATTTTAAATAAATCATGCGCGTCACTTGGAATCATTATCATTTTTTCCCGATTATTGTTATTATTTATTTTTAAGTGATTTGTAGCCCAAATTTTAGCACCGTTTTGTACAGAATTTTTGATGTCATACAAATGAATCTTTACGCGAGCTAAAAACTAGTATAAAGAAAAATGAGAATGGTAACTCAAGAAACGACAACATGACAATGGTTTAGAAAAGAAAAAATAGAGAGAAAAATCTACTTGACCCTTGAATCTCTATTTTTGAATATTTGAGTTTAGAGTGTTCCCCAAATTTTTCATTTTTTTTTCTTTTACTTTCTAAAGCACTGCCAATTTAGCCGTAAAACTGTCTCCAAGTGTAAATGCCTATTCTTTTCGCAACTTGAGTTATAAAGCGAATTTCACGTGAGGAAAAATACTATAGTAAAAAAGTTGAATTTGAATTTTTGTGAGAGAAAATACTGGAATAAAAAAATTTGAATTGTGATTCGAGTTATGAAAAGAACATGTATCTACAACCTAGATTTACTTTTGAAATGAAAGGATAATTTGGTGTATATTTAATTATCTTTTTGAATTTTGAAGAATTGTTGTATTTTTGCTTTCAATTTTGAGAATAAAGAATACACTATCATTGTCATTGTGTTGGGCCAATGATACCGTATTCTTTATTCCCCAACTTTTTTCTTTTTCTCAAACTTGTGAATTAATTTAGGTGTTTATCCACTGGATTAAGATGTGCAACCACTAGCTTTAATCACGCGATTCGCCCCTGATTCGAATCATAATTCGTGGTTCGTTACAGTATTTTTTCTCATAAAAAATATACGTAAATCGAAAATGATTCTAATCTCATGGTTCTAATTTATGAGTCAAACGTCTCCTTTATTTACTTTTGAAATGAAAGGATAATTTGGTGTATATTTAATTATCTTTTTGAATTTTGAAGAATTGTTGTATTTTTGCTTTCAATTTTGAGAATAAAGAATACAATATCATTGTCATTGTGTTGGGTCAATGATACTGTATTCTTTATTCCCCAACTTTTTTCTTTTTCTCAAACTTGTGAATTAATTTAGGTGTTTATCCACTGGATTAAGACGTTCAGCCACTAGCTTTAATCACGCACCATGTGTGAGCGACGCATCAGGATATCATTGTACGACAAAGCTGATTTTTCAATAATTTCCAAATGAAAAATGCTTTGGCGCACTATTATGTGTTAAACACTACAATTAATAAAAGATAAGCGTTATAATATTAGATTTACTTTTTATTAGTGTATGGTGTTTAGTAGCATAAACATTTTTAAGCATTGTTCTGTCCAAAGTCATACCAAGAGAGTATCACAAGCATGTTGTATATGATAAAAGGCCGGCAAGACTATGTGGATTGGTGTTTTTTTAAGAAAAAATATTATAACGAATTATGAATTATGATTCAAATCATGACACGAATACACTAACAAAACGCACCTTATTTGATTCACGCTTAAGAACATCTGACATTCTAGTTAGAGCAAACAATTAATATTTAGAAGTTTCATAAAAAAAAAAAAAAAAAAAAAAAAAAAAAAAAAAAAAAAAAAAAAAAAAAAAAAAAAAAGCAAAAAATTAAAGAAAACTAGCGTATGAAATCTGTCCAAACTAATTCAATGGGATTTGAATGCAATAGGGATGTACATAGAATTTTCTTTCGAGCCTAATTAGCACTGTTGTGCACCTGTTCAACCCCTGCCCGAGTTTTGAGCTTTCTTGTTGGTAAAATAAGTTGATTCCTCCACTTCTCCGATGTAAGTTCAAGAAAGTGTTATCTGAAAGGGCAAATAAATTACCAATGATTTATCAATGATATAAATTGCATGTCTTAAGATTTTACAGGTATTTACCAATGATCAGAATTTTAGGTAAGATGTATACTAGTGAATATTATGGAATTGTCCATCATCTCATCAAGTTTAGATTTGTTCAAATTTATAACGGTATTTATATGGGACAATTGTGCTTGGAGCTTTTCGCAGAACAAATTTCTTGTTAATAAAAAGAAAACAGAAAAGAAGAACAATAAAGATTTAACGTGTTCAACAATATGCTTACATTCACGGATTAAGAAGATATGGAGAATTCACTAGTAAGGAGCACAATAAAAAGGACTCCATATAAATACATATTACAAAACTCAGAATCGGGTACATTATCCAAAATTAAATTAATAAGAAACTTTCTTATATGAAAATAATTACAAAGCTCATAATCGGGTACATTATCCAAAATTAAATTAATAAGAAACTTTCTTATATGAAAATAAGTACCAACGAAATCAAAACTATTAATAAAGATATTTTCTAGTCTAATACTTGTTTCGTCTTACGTTGGTTTGCAGATATGATTTCTGTCAAAACATCGAGTATTCATCTGAATTTAATAGTACGCATGCAGCTCTGTTTCATGTGGTTTACTGGTTTTCCATCTTTGGGCTCTTGACATTTTTCTTAAGAACAGTTCTACACAAACTACAACAAAATATATAGATGCAATATATCTACACAAACATTTGATATGTTACATCACTAAATCCAGTTTTAGTTGGACATAGATACAACATTCTTTAGTACAGAAACCAATCCATGCAGCTTAAACGCACACTAACAAAATTAAACAACATTAATTACTTTTAACTTATTAAACAGCACACACTCCCAAAACCAACAACACCAGTATCTAACACACACGGTCGACGAAAAGATACAAGTATCTATTCAACTCACTGAGGATCAAATGCCACCATGAAGAAAGCAGTTTTCAGGCTTCATTTGGATCCATTATTGTTCTTTCAAGGTGTTCCTTAATTTTTCCGCCAGATCCCAGACTCCTTAGCTTCTTGGGGGAGATTTTTCCATTGGACGTAAGGACTAACCTCAATATATTTTCGTTCAGGCATAACTTTCTCAAACTCCTGCCAGTCTCCAAATAATTTCCCCAGGTTCTTCAATGACAAACCTTCAAGTTCTTTCCAGACGTATTCCGAACGGACAATTTCAACTTGAGGAATGAAGCTGCTGACGTCTCCATCCTCGACACATAGATATTGCAATTTAGGAAGGGTTGAGGGATGAATCCACTTCGGCATCGCCTTGCATTGGTAGTTTCGAAGATACAGCTCCTTAATGCCTTTAGGAGGGTACAGACAATCTACCATTTTCAAAGCTTTCGGTCTCTGGCATTCACTTGCGTCAATGTCTAGAACCTTGAGATTTTTGAGCTCTGAGAGAACTTCGTTCAGCTCACTTTCTAAGATTTCAAAGTCATCATTACTTATGACCATCTGCAGCTCTCTAAGTTGGATCAGCTTCGAAAGCTCATGCAGATCACAAGCTTTAGCATTTTGCTTACTAACCAATCTGAATCCAGTGAGATCTTGAAGACCTGAAAGCCTCCCCAAACCCCGAGGTAAATACTCGAGGGAACAACCTCCCAGGTGCAGGACAGTGAGTTTCTTCATTCTTGTTATTGACGAGGGTAGCTTCTTTAACTTTCTGCAACCAGTAAGGATCAACATTTGGAGATTTCGGAGTTTACACACTGAAGATGGAAGTTCCTCTAGACTTTTAACTTCACTTAGATTCAAACACGCTAGGCGCTCAAGCGAAGCAATCCAGTCTAAGAGATTCTTCACCCTTTTCTCATCCAGATTAGTGCAACCACCAGATAAATCCAACATCCTGAGGGACAGTGGAAACCCCCAGTTTGGGCTGATTTCGATGGGACTGCTTGTCACGAGTACCAGCGACCGGAGTTTTGAATTGTTTCCAAATGAATTGATATTTCCGATCATTTCATCAACAAAACCTAACCAGTAAGAATCTTTCTCCCATACTTGGATGCCCTTTTCATTGAAGGCGCAAAATGACTCCGATTTTGCAATCTCCATAATCAACTCTCGTACCACATCATGTACCTTGCAAGTGTAAACTTTCCCATCATAGTTTCTTCGACGATCAACTTCGACCAGGCATCTACTGACTAGGGCTGAAAGGTATTGATAGCCCAACTCTACCACAGATTTGTTTGAGCCCTGCCTCGATACAAGGCCTTCTGCAACCCACCAATGGATTATCTGCTCAGCCCTTATCGCATGGTCTTCAGGGTAAATTGACAAACACAACAAGCATTGCTGAAGGTGAGCCTCAAGTTCTCCATAACTCAATGCGAGAGAAGCCTTAACCTTATCATCCTTTACTCCAAGTACCGCCAACCTATCATGAAAACTTTCTGACACCTGTGTCCATATAGAAAGGTCCTTCTTGGATGCCAATAAGGATCCGATTGTCTTGATTGATAGTGGAAGCCCTCCACATTTATCCAGTATCTCCCTTCCTTTTTCCTCAAATCCCTGGCTTTCACATTTCCCTTCGGTCGAACGAAAGGCAAACTTGGTGAACAACCGCCAGCTTTTTTCTTTATCAAGTAATTCTGGCCTATGAATTCGCGATGCTTCAGAAACCACTTGGCCCGCCACACCTTCATCCCTAGTAGTAACAATGATGCAAGTTCTTCCATTTTGTATGGTTAGAGCACTGCGAATGTTATCCCACCACTCGATATCATCGATGCTCCACACATCGTCCATGACAACAAGATAGTTTGCATCCTTCTTAATTTTGCGCGCATCACTGAGTGCTTTGAACAAGTGACTCCTATCTGATGTTCCTCCTCCCAATTTTGTCAACAATTTTGCTGAAATTACATCCTCCTGGTAATTCCTTGAAACAGTCACCCATATGGTCTGGAAGACTTTTTGAATTTCTGTATCATTGTAGATTTGTTGGGCAATGGTAGTTTTGCCCAAGCCCCCCATCCCCGCAATTGCAATGCATTGGAGCCCCTTGTCGCGCTCATCGATCCACCCTTTTAGCTTCTTGATGGCATCCTCTAATCCAATTATCTCATTTGGATTGAAATCCTGCGACGCCAATATGCGTTCCTCGTTTTGGGAGTGATGACCATCTTCAGTACGAGATTGGCTTTCTGGTATGTCATATGCTCCTAAATCCTTCAAATTTTGTTGCATCTCGGAATTAATCTTGTTCAACTTCTTTCCTGCTTGATGCAAGAAGATTAGATCACAACGATCCAAGAAACCGCGTAAGCCGTCATCCTTGTATTCGCGTCTCATTAGGCAATCTGTCACCACATCGTCAGCTTCGTAAATTAGTTTCCTCAGCTGAATCAAGGCTGGCTTGGCATGTCCCTCTTTAAGCTTGTGATTAATAACATCCTTGTTCTCAAGGAATTTCTTGGCCACTTCTAGAATTTTCTTTGTCTGATCAAAGTGACCACCAAAGCCAAGTGCATAATGAGCTTCCTTTCCAACACCCTGAACAACTTGCTCCGTCAAGGCCTGGACCACAGCACCTGCTAACTCCATTTCTGTTGTTTGAGTTTTACAAACTGCGAAATTCCGAGTTTGAAATCATTAATTAGGGAGCAAATTGCTGATATATAGGAACTTGAGTAGTCTTTATCGTGACAATTTTATAGTTATAGACTGCCATCATCTTTCTAAATGTTATTTCATGTCCTTTCTTTCCAACTGAAAATTGTCGTGGCATATAGGATTAATCCTAGTGGAAAAATTCTTCTATTGAAAATTATTTTAGGGTACTAACTTAATTAGAATGTTTTATAGGATTAATTTGATGATTGTGGTTCTCTCATCTAACCTTCATTTATTATAGGAATAATAAGAAATTTTCGTTTAACATTTTACCCTATAATTTTCAAAATGTAATATATGTTTATGCATTATGAAACATTATATAAAGGAAAAAAAAAAAGCTCCTTTTGTTCGACTTTTAAAATGAAAAATTGGCTCATGGTATATAATATGGGGTATTTTGGTAATCCAATCAATTTAAAATCTAATTTGAGTTTAAAACTTAATTTTAATCTAAAACTCGAAATTAAGTTTTAATCGAATTATTGTGATTGCAAGCATAGCCTAACGGTAATTCAACACTTGACTCCACCATAAGATAAAGAGTTCAAGTCCCCACCTCAAATTAAAAAAAAAATTCAAATTATTGGTATACATGCCACCCATCCTTCAAATTTTAAAGTTACATTATAAATTTCGGGTTGACCATACCCAGCTTTAGGCTTGTTGGGCTTTAGGGCCAAGCCAAGCCCACCATTTGTCGGTCCGGTCATGTGAAAATAATTGGCCAGCCCGAAATTCTCACTCGAGCCACCAGGCTGAGATTGGGTGGCCCGAACTTTCACCTCTAGCTGGCACATATGACGGAGTAAGGCAAGCAATAGGTGTCTGATGTGGGAAAGTGATGGAGTACCACCAATATTTAGGCGATGAATGTTATGTTTTAAAGATAGTTCATGAAAAAAAAAATCTAATTAACTCTATATTATAGTAGGAAAGTTTTCATGTACGTGCTTATCATCTACCTATAAGTCCTAATTAAGAAGTGGAAATATTGAAAGCTATCCAGCCGAACATAAACTATGATAGACTACATATTTGTATGTATCAATAATTAAAGTTATATTCTATGCCTTTTATGATATATATATTTTTTATTTACAAAACAAAAAAAAAATGAAATTTCCTAATTTACAAAACACATTGGTAAACTTAATTTTATTTTTTCTAAAGGTCTTCTCTATTTTAAATTGGGAAACAAAATTTCTTATTTTAAAAATGTTTTGAAAAATATTTAGGTTATTCTTAATGGTCAAGCTGGGGCGCTGCCAAGATAATATTAGTGTAGGAAAAAGGTCAAGGACGAAACTGGAATGGGATCAATGTTATGATGGGCAACAATCGAACTTGGTGGGAGTCAAAGTAGACCTGACCCTAGGATAAGACTTACGAACGTTGAGCGAGGGGCTCAGATTGAAGTTGGATGAGAGGTCAAGGTTTTTGTAAGTGAGTTCGATGCCAAAGGTTGGGTCATGTGGGGCCTAGTCAAAATAGGGTCAGACAAGGTTGACGCAAACCGCTATGTGTCGAATCGAACTAGAGACTAGGTTTCATGACCGTGGTTGGACCAAGGTCAACCAACGAGCTAGAGTGAAGGCAAAGGTCGATGCGAGGCAAAAGTCAAATCAAAGTCAAGGTCAATTAGGGTCAACATATGACCCGATCGGGGCTGAGGTCGCGATTGTTCCAAGGCGGACGAGGTTCTCTATGGCACCGAGGTCAGATCGAGATCGATTCGATGCTAGGCCGAAGCTAGATTAAGGTGTGGTGGGGTCAATTCGAGGCCGACATTAGGTGAGGGTGAGACTACCTAGTCAATGCCATATTGTAGTCGAAATTGGTCGGTGTTAGACTACGACTAAGGATGGGGTCAGACAAACATCGGGATTCAAGTGAGAAGTTGGGATCGTAGCAGTAGTTAGACCAAGGAGATGATATGCTAGGATCGTGGTTGGACCGACATGTCACGATCAGGTTGAGCATATGGCGGATTCCGTTCAAGTTGGTCGAGGTTAAACTGGGGTTTATAAGGGCTAGGATTGAGGCCGAGGTTGGGTTATGCCGATGTCGGACCTAACCTTGGGCAAGGGGATTGGGGTTTATGTCTGCCAACGGGTGGCTTTTCCTAAAGTCCTTATTTTTATTTATTTATTTATTTTTGTTTCCCGTTTTTCTACTTTTTTCCGTTTGCTTAAAGAATTACTACCAAGATAACTCCAAGCCCTTCAAGTTCCTAATTAATGAGACAATTCGGCACATAGCTCTATTGAAGGTGCAACTTGAACAAGATAATATAATCCTTGAATTATAACAGATAAACCTCAATATAGTTTAATGCTAGTATTCTATCAGCTTTTATAACCCACTAAGCCTCAACCAGAAGAGTGGACGTGTCAGCGGTTTCCTACGTCAAACGAAAAATTATATATTCTTTGAAACAAATGATTATTAGGCATATTAGCTACAAATTATATATTACTCAAAGTTCGTAGAACTTATAAGAACAAAGTTAGGAATAAAAAAAAAAAGGAAAAGAAAAAAAACTGGGATAACAATGAAAGATGTTTGTTTTTCAATGTTTTTTGGAAAAAAAAAAAAAAAGACTAATGATATGAAGCAATTTTTATGGGAATACACACATCTACATATCGAACATATTTGCATACAAATCATGCATGACCGTGAAACATAAACATACGTACCAGTATATATATATATATATATATTTATATATATATATATACACACACACGTATATACCAAACACTTCATGCCCATTTAGTTCATGCATTTAAACTAGTGATTCTTAATTCTGACATTTGAAATTTAAATTTTTTTAAGAAAAAAATACTGTAGCAGAATCAAAATCATTAATTTAAACGCATGAAACAAATGAGTCATTCAATATTAAACAAAAATGCAAATTACTTTAATAGAGAACCGGAATACAACCGAAGGCCATAAAAAAAAAAAAAAAAAAAGTCTAATAAAAGACCATTTTATAAATATGAACGTGACATGTATACACGAACGCACGCACATATCCACAAACATACAAATTTTTTTAATGGTTAAAACTGATCGTAGAGAAGAAAAAACTTCAAATTTTGTTTTGAAATGGTAAAAATTTCATATATAGACACTGCATACCGAGGAAAAAGAATTTGAAAACTGAAGAAATTAGTAAGAGTTTGCCATAAGTTGAAATTCTCAATGTCAAGTAACATAGATATATATATATATATATATATATATACACACACACACACACACACACGACAGAGGAATTGGCAGGTTTTATCACCAACTAATTAACATTAATCTGTCTAATAATTATGAACTCACCGGCCAAGAACAGATCAAGTAAGTCTCCTTCGCATCACTCCGATATACCTCTACTTCACTGCCTTGTCCCACTAGTTCTCCGGCTGTCACTAAACCCCAAGAATTAAAATACAGAGCACACAAAATTACAGAAATGATAAAAAAAAAAAAAAAAAAAAAAAGAGTGAGAAGAGGAAATGAACTTGCGGACTATTATCCTTGGGGGCGATTGAGATTATAAGCCTAACTTATTCTTATAGAAATACTTTTGTTATTTGTGTCCCCAAACTTTAGATTTATTATCATTTAGCCCTTTGAACATTAAAAACTTCCACTTTATGACTTCAAACTTTGAATTAGTTTCACGTAAATGGTTCATTTATGACTATTAAAAATATTTTTTCACGTAAATTTCTTTTTATAACTGATAAAAAAATTTCTTTGTAAATAAATTTTTTTTTTACCACGTAGGTTATATTTTACTAGTTGTAAATGAATTATTTATACGGTAAAGTATTCATTTATCTCGTAAATTATTATTTATTTCAAATAGTTTAAAATATGTTATTTATTTAATTTCATTTTAAAAATATGTTATTTACTATCATTTTAGTATCTTAACCTATCAAAAAGATATGTGTTTGGTAGGATGGATTTTAAGAAGGAAGTAAAGGGTTTGGTGGAAACTGTGTATCCTTCCTTTGTTTGGTGGGACGCAATGAAGCATTCAGCATTGTGCTAGGGAAAGGAAAAAGGAAGGGGCTGCCTTTCCATGGGCCCCACCAAAAACTGATCCTTCCATATGTGGACGGAAAGGAAGGGAATGACTTACTAACACTTTAAAATTACAACTTTACCCTTGTTTTCTCTCTCTTTTATTAATTTAAAAAAAAAATTATAATTTTTTCTACCTTTTGTTTTACCGTTTACGTTTCTTTTATTGTTTATACTTTTTTTTTTACGCTTCTTTTATATATTTTTACATATAATGAACCTTTTCGTATAATACTAACTTTTTTATTTATATTATATTTTTAAATAAAATACAATTTATCCTTATTAGTTGATAAAACATATGTAACTATGAAGCAACTGTTTTATGAACAATAAGCAATTGCTTTCAAGTTGAAAGGATATATAATACGTTCTAAGCATATTAATATAATTGATGATTATATGAGCAATATATAGTAATTTTACAAATCAAACTAATCCTCCCATTCTCTTTTCATTTCAATAATAAACAAATAAGAAGGATTACAACAGTCATTTTTTCCTATCATACCAAATAATTTTGAGGAAAATCATAATCTTTCTTTTCACTCCCCTTTTCTTATATCATAATCATCCTTCCACCAATTTATTTTTCCTGCCAAACAGAAGTAATGTTTTCCGTTTCTGTAACATTTTCTCAAAAATTAATAACTAAAATTGATAATTCTTTTAAATATTTTATTAAATTTATGTACCTACCGATATTTTTACTGATATATATATATATATATATATTGTGTTTTTAACCTTGGTTATCTCAAGCACTTGAGAATCTTTTGGGAGTAAGAAATCCCACCATCCGTTTCGCCAATGAAAACTCTATAAATCATGATAATTAATTTAGTTTCCTCCGCTTCATTTTGTTTGTTGTTCTTTTTGTTATTCATCATCCGATTTCCTTTCTTTGTTGTTTAGTCCATTATTGGTTTTGGCACGTCTTCTTAAAGCTAGTAAAGCTTCTTATGTTTGGTAGAAGGTATGGAACTAGGAAGGGAGAATAACTAAAATATGAAAGTGAAAAGAATAAAAAATAGTAGAAGGGATTTTTCTCAATATTGTTATGTAGAAGAGAAAAAAAAAGAGAAAAGATAATATCTAGCTTAATGTATGTAATGCTATATTTGATGTGTTAATTATAAATTTAACATTTTAGTGTAAAAAATACTCTTTAATGCAATGCTATTTATTGTGTTAAATTTCTCATATATTATATTTTGTGACAAATTTCTCATATATTATGTTTTGTGACAAATTTCTCACCAAATATAATATAGGAGAAATTTGACATTTGATTACTATTAGTTGAAATGTTTACTTTTTCATGTAATCAATATAACTTTTGCCTTTTTTAATTATTTTAAACATAAAAATTTACTTTTACAACTTTCAAAACTTAATAATTATGAGAAAAAACAGATTTAGCATTTTAAATAGTATATGTATTAGAGTAAAAATGAAAATAACATGCCATATTATAATTTTTAATAATAAATGTACAATTGACATTAACATTTGTATTAGAAATTGTCTAAAACTTCTTATGTTGGTAAAGGGTATGGAACTAGGAAGGAAGAATAACTAAAATATCAAGGTGAAAAGAATAAAAAATAGTAGAAGAGAAAGGAAAAAAAAAAGAAAATATCTACTTTAATGTATTGTCCAATTATACCCATATAATAAAAGGATGAAGAATTATTAAGATCAAAATAACTATTTTACACATTATTTGTTCCCTTAAATTTTTCTCTCCTATTTTCCTTTTTAAAATTGCAAGGATTTGTAATTTTCTTCCGTCTTAATTTCTTTTAACCAAGCAACCTAAGGCCTCGTTCATTTCATTAATTCGAGTTTAGAATTTGAGTTTTACTACAGTAAAAAGTTCTCAGAAACAGTCACATCTAATTTTTTTGCTACAGTAAAAAATTTTCACATAATATCATATCTCAACTCAAATTAGCGAATTGAACGGAAGATTCTCTTTCATTCTCCAAATCTCTTCTGCACTTTCCTTCCTCTCCCCTTCTCACTCTACCAAACTTGTCTTGAAAGAAGTGGTTTAATACTTAACAGCAGCTTGTGTCGTCTCTCTCCTCTCTTATTGGACCTTTTCATTATTCTCTGCTTTTTGTTGTTTGTTTACCTGACGAAGGGCACTTGAAGATGCCGATTTTATAATTATTATAACCTTAAAAAAAAAAAAAAAAAAAAAAGCCGCTTTAGTTGTGTCGTTTGTAAAAAAAATATAAAATTCAAAGTCGCTTTAGTCACTGCCGAGCGTCAAAGCCGCTTTGTCGTTTGTAAATAAAAAATTCAAAAGGCACTTTAATCGTACGTGACGGCCACTTTGCTAAATAATAATAATAAAAAAAGTGTGTTACAACAAATGTGACTTTGGAAGCTGACGCTTTTTCTTCTTATCTGAGAGGAACCTCGGGTGCGATAGTTTAGCAAATCATGGGACAGTTTTATTCTTGAGTTAAAAACTCAAAAAAAAAAAAAAATTTAAGTTATAATTTTATTTAAGTTTATATTTTTTTAAATTTAAATTTGAGTTTGGGATTTAAATTTGAGTTTAAATTTTTTCTTCAATTCGAGTTCAGAAACTCAAACTCAAATTAATGAACAATATTTTTTCTATTCTTAAAATGCCATAACTTTTTCATTTTAATTCTGATTGAGATGATTTTTTTTCTATGCGTTGATAACGAAAAGACAAGCCGCTTTAGTTGTGTCGTTTGTAAAAAAAATATAAAATTCAAAGTCGCTTTAGTCACTGCCGAGCGTCAAAGCCGCTTTGTCGTTTGTAAATAAAAAATTCAAAAGGCACTTTAATCGTACGTGACGGCCACTTTGCTAAATAATAATAATAAAAAAAGTGTGTTACAACAAATGTGACTTTGGAAGCTGACGCTTTTTCTTCTTATCTGAGAGGAACCTCGGGTGCGATAGTTTAGCAAATCATGGGACAGTTTTATTCTTGAGTTAAAAACTCAAAAAAAAAAAAAAATTTAAGTTATAATTTTATTTAAGTTTATATTTTTTTAAATTTAAATTTGAGTTTGGGATTTAAATTTGAGTTTAAATTTTTTCTTCAATTCGAGTTCAGAAACTCAAACTCAAATTAATGAACAATATTTTTTCTATTCTTAAAATGCCATAACTTTTTCATTTTAATTCTGATTGAGATGATTTTTTTTCTATGCGTTGATAACGAAAAGACGAATAAAACTCCACCTATATACTCTATTAAATTTTTTCATCAGCATTGAGTTTTATTAAAATACTATTTAAATACAAATTTAAGTTTTGACTCACTCAAACACAAACTCAAAAGATTCTTATCTCAAATGTACACAACCAAACACAAACTCAAGTTATAACTTCAACTCAAATTATAACTCAAATTCAACTCAAAATTTACACTTAAGTCACCTAACTCAAAAATAACAAAAGAACAGCCCCATCGTCTTTTTAGATTTACTTTCTCATTTTATAGAGGTGATTAAATCCCACTTTGTTAGAACATATTTGTAATTATATGCACTTTTTCTCAAAACAGTAATATGAGTCATGACACGACAATACGATTTAAAAACGATACGAATTTTGAGAGAGTTAAAATTGAAAAAAAAATATTTGGGTCAGAATTGACAGTAATGCGTGCCAAAAACATTAATAAACTCCTTTATAATAAAGATTGATGGAAGATGCTCGGTAAATTCTCATTTTACTGGTTAGATTCTGATGATATTTGCTCAATAATTTGTTTCAGTGCGTTCTACTGTCCAAGTCTGATAAAGTGATTCCTTTAATAATTTTCCACATGTTTAGTAAAAGCAAAATGGATGACTCAGGCTAGATTCTTTTTCCCCTTAACACAATAATTAAAGCTAGATCACCATTAAGGTAAAAAAAGAACAAAAGCTAAAGCTAGAATGCCTTGTCCAACAGTATCTCTCAAATATGCCTTGATGATGATTGATGATTGATCGGTCGACTGTGGGCTTGTTTAATGAATATCATTCTGTATTAGATAGCGTGATTCACGTTTACATGATATTAAAATGGATATATAAGTACAGTAAAACTTCGATTTAATGAATCCTCGACAAATTTATAGTCTTGATTAAATAATAAAATTTTTAGGTCTTAAATTGGTCAATGTATTAAATTAATAATCTTGTTAAAGGTATAAAATAATATAGTTTTTTTTCTAGACATAAAATTTAAAAAATGCTTAAATCAATTTTATGTTTATGTATGTACATATTAACATTATTTTAGGCATTTTTTTAGAGATTAGTTTTTTGCTTCGATGTACATGTATATAACATTTATATATACATGATAACTTTGAAAGAGAAAATCGC